AATCCCCCAAGACGACTAGGATCAATACTCCTGGCAGGATAGAATTCCGCGACCCTGGGCAGGCGCTGCATAGCGGTTTCCCCGAGGAAGGTGCCCTTATAAGGGCCCTATCAAGCCACAACTTTACGTCCCAAACGCCCGCCACGCCCGCCCACAAATGGACGACCGTTCCTGACGCTCGTATTCTTCATTTGCTAGCAAATTATGAAGCGAAGGGATTGGTATGAAGCGGCCGTGATGCTGCATGCATATATGGGTACACATATGCAGCCGTATCTTCGGTAGCGGTTATTGGCAAGATGCCTACGGGAAACTCGTCCGAAATCGATTTTCAAGTCACTGAGAACGGAGGCTTTTTCTTCGCAGGATTTTGACCGTTTCACTCCGTTCTTTCGCCATTTCCCCACTATACAGCGCCCTACTAGCATTTATCGCGCTAATTAGTCGACGGGGGGGGGGCATTTCGTATTATAATTGCTTTCGCTTGTTCCGGGTTTACCAAATTCCCCCCCCAAACTCCGGTAAAACCTATCAGTGAACGCTTGTGAAGCTGAAAGCAAGATCGTCTAGCACCATCCTAAAACGTGTCAACTCGAAAAAAGGGTATCTAGATGGGTCGGCAAATCTGTGAAAGCAGAAATGCCCCCCCGTCGATAAACAGCGCCCATTTTAGGGCTAAGTAGGGGAAACATTTCGTGCCAAACTGCCTTTAACTCAACAAACAGTTCAAAAACGCGAAAGTTTTCTAAGGCCACGATCCTCCCATTCCCCCTCCCTATAATTGGATCTGTCTAACAAAAGCCGTACCGCTGCCTTCTTGTCTGTTCTTTATCTTCTCACCCTCTACATTAGGCTTTTCTGGCCTCTATCAGCTTAGAAAAATTCGCGAGCAGCTCACGTGAACGGAAGTTGAAAATTCTAAGATTCGTTCTCTACCGAACTCAGTCGCTCCTCTGAGGTTGGTACGGCTAATTAGCGTTTGAGGCACTTTTGACGGAATTAGCCGCGTAACGTTCTTTTGTCGTAACTCCAATATACTTACCTGTCGATGTTCACTTTGCATAGTGGCCGGTATCGGATGACCATTGACAAGCCATGAAATCCGTGACACAGGATTCGATGGTCTGTAATTGCAGACATTTGCTGCTTCCTTGATTCAATAGACCTCTTTTTCCTCTTAGGTCATATGACTGGGAGTCTGTGATAATTTAATCGCTGTACTCAATCAATTAATCAATTATATCTCTTCTGAAGGATAGTTGGCCATTCGGCAAATCCCATCCTATGATTGTTCGATGATGTAACGAAGGGAGACGCCCCTCAATTAGGCAATCAAAATTAGGTCTGTTCACTCATCCTTTAAGAGATTTAGGACCAAAGAGGGAGAAGGGTGCATCCCAGTAATGAAACCAATTTACTTAGCTGACAGCTGTGCAAATCTTTTTGGAAAAAAGGGAGATTACCGAAGATCCTAGGCTCCCAGAACATTCATTTCGGATACCCCTTAGGAACCTTACTGCCTCTCCTACTGCAAATTCAAACTGTTTTAAAGAGTTCGAAAACGAAAAAATGAATCACTTTGTTCTACATTGTACCACGGTGGAAGTTCCTTGTCGTATATTGCTTTCACCCAACACTTCCACTCCTTGTGGCGCATCTAAATGATTCCGATTGGCGTTTAGTTGTAATACCATTTGTCATCATCACATTCGCATAGTCTAGCCAATGAAACATAGCTGCTTACATGCTACTTTGACATGAATAGAACGCTTTTGTGGATCTTCACCAGCTCTGTTCGATGCACGACATTCATAGTTGGCCAGGTTATCCTCAGGTTCAGCGAGAAACGAGTACGTGTTTTTGGTCTCCTGAAAGATGCAACATGTCTAAAAAGTCAGAATATGAAAGCATTTCCTGCGACATTCTACCATCAGTAGGGAAGAAGATAGGGGCTGACATTTTTTTTCTCAAAAATAAGATCGAAAGGGGCGAATGCCAAGCAGAAATAAGTGCCACATAGACACAGGGACAAGATTCTCTTCGCCCCCGACCCTTCACGAAAGGACGCAAGCGTTCCATCCCTCCGCGCAATGCGTTTGGTTTTTGTAATTTTGTCCGCGATAGGAAGCATAGGTAGCAGTGTTAAAATGTGAAAGAGAAATTGCCAGCAGAAACGCTTCTCTTGCCCAAACAATTCTACGAGTATAAGGCCAAAAGACCACACTTTAAGGCGAGTCCAGCTGATTCCTTACGTTGAATCCTATGACACCACAAGGGACAACTGAGCTTTCATCTTATGCTACTCGTCCAGTAGCATCGCTTTTCGCTAGAAGGTCAACTTTGAAGGCAGAGTCTAAAGGCGGGGTCTTTGAAAGAAGGGAGGTGTAACTGAAGCTAATTTGCACCTCAGCTCCTTCATTTTACAACCGGTCAACTTTAAAGGCAGAGTCTAAAGGCGGGGTCTTCAAAAAAGGAAGTGTCATTGGAGCTACATGCACCTCAGCTCCCTTAGTTTCTATTCTTCTATCTATTCTTTCGCCCACGGAAAGCTGTACACTGCGGACTACACTACCATTTCCACGCAACTTTTTAATTTTCATAGGTCATCGCGGACCATTCCTTTAGCCGATATCAGACTTGCACCAGAGCACGAGAACACTACTATGCACAAGGCCTAGTCCCTTCTCCTCATTGTATAGGGCAAATAGGCCTCCCCTCATTATATATCCCGGATGAGCCAGCTCATTCCATTCAAAATTCCGGATGGAAGTCGGATGCGTAGCGCATCCCGTCAAATTCCAACCAACCATGTTTTTCTCACCGAACGCGATCAATAGTGCATCATTTACATGTGCCACTTTTTTGTTTGCAAAAAAAAGTGTCTGCAAAAAAAGAACGGATAGCTGACGAGGTTCTAAGAAGGTCGAGCGAACCGATCGATAGTCGTGTTAGTAATGAATGATTCAGACAGTTCTAGGTTTATGGTGTAAGCCAAACAGAGAGTTTCTAATTTACAGATTACACTTAAGTGAGACCTGTAAACTACTGTCAAGCTGCGATTCGGTACACGTCAGTCACTTTATACACATCACTTTACATTACAGTAATTTGTAGCACTCCAGAAGGTGGTGTGGACTAACTTTGCTAAGTACCTTTTGATGCCCCCACCAAGCAGAACTGCACCTACTTATCAGCTGTCGAAGGGTCTCGAGCCAATATCGGACTTAGCACTTTGATCATACCCCCTCACAAGATGTGTTAAGAAATAGAAGGCCCCTGTCGGCAAACGCTTTTGATTCTATATTTCACGGCCTGGAATCCAAGGCGATCCCTAGGGAACCCTCGCATCGGCCCATCTTCAGCCTTGCATATGGGGCATTGACTCGCCGCTTGACAAATAACACCGCCAAACACTTCTGACCAAGCAATACTATAGGGCGTTCCACACATTATTCGAAATCGATATGGCGCATTCAATATCGTGCCAAATAATCATCGAGGAGTGATTGCAAAAAAATTGTTTTTATAAGCTTTATTGCAATACTCAAAGGCTCTCTGGGTCCATCTGTAGCCTCTTCTATTCCGATTCCGCAAGAGAACCCACCTAAGCGATCTTTCTGGGCAGGAATTCCTGCCATCGGGTAATAGTGCAGTCACATCATCACCACGCTTTCCTGGATGAACTCTACTAAAGCCCACTGAAGTGTAAGAAGGATGGTGGAAGAATGGCGCTCAGGAAAGTTCTGCTAGGATGACTTTAAGGCGGTTTCGTGAGCTTACAGCTTGATGAGCTCCTTCAGCAAGTCTGCAGGAGATCGCCTTTGGAGGCACAATCTCTGGTGACCTCTCTAGCTAGGGGGTAGTAGCACCCCTTATCGGAGGGCAGCACGGCGCGAAGCTGCGAGCGTGACGAGGGTCCAGACGAAAGAGTGGTAGAGACGTCTTTGTGAGACAGGAGAATGGGCGCGGGAATACGTAGCCGTTGCTTGGACGCCTCTTTTCGCACTCGGACAGAACGACGGAATTCGTCCTCTGTACAAGTAGAATATTCATATTCCGCAATACTATAGGTAGTAGTCTTGTTTACTGCGGATGACAGGGCGTGTCAGTGGCTGAGCATGGCGCGCCGCAAGCCGGTTCTCCACAGGTTGTTGAAGCGGGTAAGCGAGAAACACTGGTGGAAAATGACTGACATAAAAGATGTGATACAAACTCGTCGCTCGCCAAGAGAGAAAAAAAGAAAAAAATAGACTGGCGCCGCGCCAACACTTCCCTCCTTGGCTCGTCCCATCATCCACAGCGAAAAAGACTGTACCACTGTACCACGCTTAAGCTCAGGAGTGAGTAAGGCTGCGTTTATACTTTGCGGCAGCGTAGCGTAGCGCTTCCAGCGTACGCCAGCGGCAGTGCCGGGAGAGGATGCATATCGATCTAGCTTCACCAGCGCGTTACGCTGCGCACGCTGGCGTAAGTATAAAACGCCAGCTTAACGAGTAGCTATTTATCGCCGGAGGAAATCCACCGTGTGAAAATTTTTTCATATACCCACATGAGCTTAGGTATGATAGTTGTCCTTTACTTGTATTAACAGACCTGAATGGTACTGCATTCACACCCGTGTGGGACCCATGGCTGCGGTCTCACCCTTTTCTCTACTATCTCACATTTGTTTCTGGTCTATCACCATCGCAACAGTTCCGTGCTTTTAGGCTGCGTTTATACTTTGCGGCAGCGTAGCGTAGCGTAGCGCAGCGTAGCGTAGCGCTTCCAGCGTACGCCAGCGGCAGTGCCGAAGAGAGGATGCATATCGATCTAGCTTCACCAGCGTCACCAGCGGCACGCTGGCGTACGCTAGCGGCACGCTAGCGTACGCCAGCGTTTCTCCAGCGTTTCACCAGCGTTTTGCTAGCGTTTGCAGCGGCAGGGGAGTAGAGACTATGGGAGAGCTGGAGGGTACAAAGCACATCGATTGCGCGTATCTCACTCGCCCTTAGTCTCTACAATGCACATCGCTTCTGCGTCTTCGACGGCCCCTTAGTCTCTACAATGCACATCGCTTCTGCGTCTTCGACGGCCCCATAGTCTCTACAATACACGTCGATTCCGCGTCTCTGCCGGCCACATAGTCTCTACTCCCTGCCGCTGCAAACGCTAGCAAAACGCTGGTGAAACGCTGGAGAAACGCTGGCGTACGCTAGCGTGCCGCTAGCGTACGCCTAGCGTGCCGCTGGTGACGCTGGTGAAGCTAGATCGATATGCATCCTCTCTTCGGCACTGCCGCTGGCGTACGCTGGAAGCGCTACGCTACGCTGCGCTACGCTACGCTACGCTACGCTACGCTGCCGCAAAGTATAAACGCAGCCTTATTCATTTTCGTCCAGCTCATGGACTCCATTTGAAGACTTTTCGACGATCCCAATTTTTTCAACACAGGCAAGCTAATTAACATCTATCAGGCCTTATTTGGATCCCATTAACAGAACTTCCAACGTCAGATGAATCCCACTAACAGAATTTTCAATCGTCAGATGAGTTTTCATATTTACCTAGAGCAAACCACTAGTTTTGGTCAAGTCCGTACAACCCCATTCCCCTCTAAAAAGTGGCTTGATAATACCCCTCCTAGGTCAAGCGTAGAGGGTATATATGGCACATAAAAAAAGGGAAAAACCGCGAGGAAAATACGGTCCTCTCAACCATCCTATGTCCCACCCTCTTAGATTTTCCCAATTTCCTACTACTTTTTCAGTTTTTTCGGAAAACTCCGAAAATTTTTTTACTCTTCCCCAAAGTTGCTGTCGAGCGAGGAGGGGGGGACTATGTGAAAGAGAAAAAATCGCACGAAAGTCAACAACAGGGAAAAACTTTCCCAACGATTTGCTCTTTCTCTCAGAAGGCAAATACGAACTCCTTCTCCCGCTCTTCCAACAACGAGCAATTACGACCCCACCACTTCTAGCGTCCGTGAAACAAGAAAAATCAACTAATCGAAAACATTTCAAAAATTTTTTTCAGACTTATTACAACCCCCTCTCTCCCCAGCGACCGAATACGACCCCCCTCCGTTGGGGAATCCCAACGATGATGTGCCCTGTATTCACCACCAGTTTCAAGGACAATACAAGTCTGGTTGAGCTCGTACAAATATCGACTTCCTCACTGCGCCTCTAAGACTGATATTCCACCGCCCTCGAAAGAGAAACAGAACTCACAGGAAATTTGTGAGAATCCAGCTGTTTCTAAAAAGCTCGATTGAAAATTATCACCGGTCAAGATGAAATAAAAAATAATTGTAGCGCTTGTTCCTCTTCAAACTTTCAATATCTTACTATGAAACTGAGACTTCAGAAGAAGTCCCTCCATCGTCACCTTCTTCAGCCTATCTGGGAACGAATGACACATCCCAAATGTCAGTAGAATAGGCCACTATATTGCTAACCATATGAATGGCTGTTTTTGCTGACCCGAGCGCCAAATAATGAGGGGCGAAGCAACACCAGTGATTGGCACGTTAGCAGGTGGGAACGTAGTGTAACGTGGAAACGGCCTAATATTGGACCCTTTGCGAATGGGCTACTCAGACCACATGTGGTGGTTTTGAGCCTCGGCCAAAACGCAATATGCTTTTACCTGTGACTGGAGATCGTAGTGATATCGCGAACTCAGGAGACGATCTTTGAGATACCATGAGACATCGGGTGGTGGATTACCACCCACTGCTACGCATGCCAATGTCACATTATCACCTGCTCGCACGTATGAATCACCGTTCAGCATTGAAACTTGTGGCCGGTCGGGTGGATCTGAAAGGTTTCGGAGGTATTTGATGGGTTTTCGGCCACATAAAATACTAGAAATGCTACAATACCACTATTACTACTAATACTACAACACAAATTTTCTTGGGAACAGGAACGCTTAACTAACAACTTCAGCGGAACTTCAGTCACCGTCTGCAAAGCTTTTTTGACTGCCATTCTTTGTATTGTCACGAAAATCTCTACAGAATTGA